TATTATGTATACATGCATGTACAAATTAGGTTTGTAGGAAGATTGTTTAACATAAATAAGTAAACATTGGGTTGGGGAATGAAAGGAACCTTGCAAAAGAGATTTGAAATCAAGATGCACAACTAGTATTTGATAAAATGCTCAAATGAGTTGAAGCTATGAATACCTTCCTAAATTGTGTTCAATTTTGTTATGTCTCAAGTAGATTGGAATTGCTAGAATTTCCGGAACGTGGTAGTAACTTAAGGAAAGCTTAAACGAGGTATGTATGGCTAACTTTAACTCTTGTTGAATCCCCTTGTTGTAACGAGCATACGGTATGTGTACCTTGTATGAAAATATGTGTATTGATTGTCTTAGTTGATTTCCACACCACCATGCTATATGTGATTGTAAGAAGTGATTTGATGTTCCTACCTTATTATGTGCAAAGTTTGTAAATGCTTGAGGATGCCGACATGGAAGTATGTGTTAACGAATGAAAGAATGTTAATGTGTCCAAATGTGGGAATGTGTATAATGGCTAAAAACCCTGCGTGGTAAGTAATGAAAGAGGGTATTGTGAAATGACGTAAATAAGTTGAACGATTACGACAACACCTTGTACATGAATTACTGCTTGGTGACAGTTATGGTGCCTTGGGCCCAAATGTATGAATTGTTGATATGAACTAGTGCTTCCTTGAAATGATGGTTCTTGTGATGTATTGTTTGTGGTTGTGATTACAAAATGTGATTGTCCGGTGGGATCGGGTTGCGTGCCGCAACAAGAAGTAATAAGGTGTAGGTTGTGGTGATAAGGGTAGCCGAGGTAATAAGTGTGGCCGAGGTAATAAGGGTGGAAAAGTGACCATAGTCACTATTAAAATGAATATATATGAAACTCTTGAATGTGAAAATGTTGGAAAGGGAAAAAGGAGAGATTGTGAAACTTTTGAGTTTGGTTGTTTCTTCCTACGTGCAATGCTTGTTGGTTCTATTACTGTCTCTTAGCTGTGTATTGTTTGATATTCTGGATGGCCTGAAGCCATGTGATTGAACTGTGAACTATTGTTGTTGTGTGAAATGTGATTGTCCGGTGGGATCGGGTTGCGCGCCGCAACACGAAGTAATAAGGTGTGGGTTGTGGTGATAAGGGTGGCCGAGGTAATAAGGGTGGACGAGGTAATAAGGATGGAATGTGATTATTATCACTATCGAAATGAAAGTTTGTGAAATCATTGATATAATTAAACGATGTTGAAAGGGAAAAAGGAGAGATTGTGAAACTTGTTTGGCCTTGGTTGTTCCTTTCATGTGCATTGATTGTTGATTCTATTACTGTTCGTTATCTGTGTATTGATTGATTTTACTTGGGATAAAGTTTGTTCATACATACCAGTACAAATCAAATGTACTGACGTCCCTTTTGCCGGGGGCGCTACATTCTTGTTATGATTGTAGGTGGTTTTATAGCAGGTACCCAGTCCACCAACAGTAGCACCTCCTTCACTTTCCGTCAGCTGTATTGGTGAGCCCCTTTCCTCTCGGGGCCCTGCGTGGCTCATGCCGCTTTTCTTCCCGGAGTCTTATTTTGGTATTTGTGTAAGGTATAGTCGGAGCCTTGTTGCCGGCATTTCCATATTATTCTTCAGTTGTATTTAGAGGCTTCGTAGACAGGTTGTGGGTAGTGTCGGGTATTGGAATTTAAAACAGAAATATTGATGTTTGGCAATGATGTATAAAACTTGTAATACCTTTAAAATGGTGAATGAAGTTGCTAATGAAAATGAAATGAAAATCGTTAATGATATGTTTATAGAATTTGATTAATGGAGTCCATCTCCTATTTATTCATGAATTAGTTTGGGTAGAATGAGACCTAACAGGCTTGCTCGGTCGGGTTCACTCGGTTGAGCGCCGGTTGCGCTCCTCGGATTTTGGGGCGTGACACTCCCGCGCTGTGCGTCTTCATCGAAAAGCTTCCTTAAAGTTCATAACTCACACGTTTATTCGTGAGTGGGTCAAGGACCCGTCAAAGCTTCTTATTCTAATGGGATCGGGCCGTTCGCCTCGGCAGTGTAATAGATACATCTATGGTTCGTGTCGTTCGACCCTCGGCAATGTGCATGTTTTATGGGATCGGGCCATTCGCCTCGGCAAGATTGTGTACCACACTCTCATGGGAGCGGGCCGTTTGCGTCGGCATTATAATAGATGTATCTATGGTTATGTACCAGATTATGATGGGATCCGGTCGTACGCCTCGGCATTTCTACAAAAAACTCCTATGGAATCGTGCGTAATATTTCTCAAGAAGCTAGTGTATCTGGGAATTTTCCTGATTTGAATTATGACAATATATCTGGTGAGGTCCAACAAATATATATATTCTCCAGGGGAGGAGGTAACTGCTAATTGAGAGTTTGAGTTTGTGGTTGTGAGGAGGATTGTACCACGTATTTGCATTTGTTTATTTCGTTTGATACTTTGCCCCATATCTGTTTACTTCTTACTATATCTGTCTTATTGGACCACTAGTAAGTATCGATGTCGACCCCTTGCCACTACTTCTCTGGGGTTAGGCTAGATACTTACTAGGTACGCGTTGATTTACGTACTCATGTTGCACTTGCTGCATTTATTGTGCAGGTATACATATATGTTTTCGATGGTCCTCTAGGAGCAGAGGCTCGGCTGTTGCCAGGACTTTACGGTGAGCTGCACTTCCTTTGCACGATCCGCAGCATACAGAGTCTCCATCAGAGTTATTTATATTCCCCGTCTAACTTGTATTTCAGACGGGTGTCGTATTATTGTTGTACTCATTAATAGATGCTAATGCACTTGTGACACCAAATTTTGGGGGTTTGCTACGGGTTGTTCATCATTGTAGTTGTGAAATTATTATCATTTACCCTGTAAATTCTATTTCATACTAGTTAATTAATAAAAATTATGAATTTAAAATACTAAAATGAGTAATTAAGTTAATCATTCACCGTTTAAGTTAATCATTCACCATTGTCTTGCATGACGACGGTGTTAGGCGCCATCACGACTTTTAGTGAATTTTGGGTAGTGACACTCATAGCAACCATCATCCTAGAAATTAGATTCCATCTTCTTCAATAGTATCCGAAAAATCTTCTAATTTTTTCTAAATTATTTTTTAGTTTTTTTAATCTGTATATCTAAATATATATAACACAATAATAATTATATTATTTATATATCACAGTGTATAATATAATAATAATGTGTATACCAAAAAATTATTTTCCTTCTTTGCATAACAGATTTCAGATTGAAAACTCAAGTTTCAAGACTCCATCATTGTATCCCATGTGTATCTCCATTACATAAGTGATATCTCATGTATATCATGTGTATCGTGTATATACAAAAAGAATCCGTGTTATATACATGATATACAATGAAATATACAGGCCGTATCTATGTGAATTCATGAAATTGTGTTATATACACGATATACACATGCGTCCATAAAAAATGTATGTTATATACACGATATACAAAGTGATCTAAGCAGACGTCCATAAAAACTTGTGCGTGATATACACTAATGTACATGATATACAACATCATATACACACGTCACAGTTGGATTTTTAGGTCTGATTTTTTACCTGCAATCAGTATAAATCACTTCTAATCTTGCTCAAATGTTATATAGCATCGTCTAGGTGTTTTCAACCAATTTCAACTACACCCACTCATTCAATCCAATAACAAAAAAAATGAAGAGAGAAGAAAACAAAGTTGAACTATATCTTTTCCTATTTTCTCTCTTAGTTTGTGCTTCCGGTCTTCTCTAATGTGAGATTAACCTTATCTTTTCATCCCGCTGATTTTTGTGTGCATAATTTATAATAGTTTTTGGTAAACCATGAGAGAGAAAGAGGAGAGATAGAAGAAGAAATATAAGGAGAGAAAGGGAGAGGGAAAATAAAAAGATACGTAATAGAGAAAGATATGAAGTAGGTTTTTCTAAATGGCTATACAATGCTAATTCTTTTGGGGATGCCTTTCCCAAAATAATTTATGGCCAATAATTTGCCAATTCCGTTGTTACCTAGTGCTAGGGGTGTCAATGGATATTTAAAAACTAACTAAACCGACCAAATCGGACCGTGCCGAACCGATTTTTAGGTTTCTTTTAATAAAGATGTAGGTTTTTTATATAAATCTATAACCGTACTGATAATTAGGGTATGTTTTTTATTTTATAAAAATAAACCGAAAAAATACCGAACCGTACCTAATAAATTAACATGTGCAAAATATATTTATATATTAAGTTTAAAAATAATAATGTATTATATTTTTTCTTGAGCCTTGGAATTGTGAAAACGTTTACAAGCCAACAAATAATTAAACCCAAAATCTTAATTCACAAACCTATAATGATACTCATATTGAAAACAAATTAATTCCAGCATATTCACTAGCAAGACACAAGGTATTCAAGCGATTAGTAGCAAACTACATTGTATTGAATATGTTTCCTTTCATATGATTTAGATTTATCTTTTTGAATATTTAATCTTCCGTAGACGTTATTCTTGAGTTCGAGCTTTGTTAATATCTCTTCAGTCGTGTGATTTATATATATATTTTTGTCTTTGCTTATATACTCTAGTCATCTTTCATATTTTCTTAATTCATCACCCTCTAAACAGTAAAATTGTCTAAAGGGTTTGCTAAGTCCTATAAAAGTATATATATTATTGCATTCTAGTTACTAGTGACTTTTACATGGCATTAAAAAAATACCGAAAATTAATCGAACTGGACCGATACCGAAGAGAAACTGATATGATTGGGACGGTTTCGAGAAATCTAATTTTGATTAAACATAATAGATTACCAAAAAATTAATAGGAATACAAATTTTAAAAAATAGTTGTGGGAACCCAACCATTAACACTCCTATCCCGTTCCAATTGACAAAAGAAAAAAGAAAAAGAAAAAAAGGAAAATGAAAAAGTGAGGTGGGTAGGGGAAGAATAACGCGATGTACACCAAAGAATTAGTCTATACTTGTTATTATGAGCCGTAGGAGCCTCCTCCATTTTGGTTGAATCTGTTCTGTGTCCAATTCCACACTCCAAAAGCCACCCTCCACCACCCTTTCATAGCGCAGATACTGAAACAATTAAAAGAAGACAAAGAGGGGGAAGATTTTGGATTTGGAAGAATTATCATGACTTACGCTACTCACGTCCTTCGTCACTCCAAAAAGGTTTGATTCTGATTTCCCTCTTTTTTTTTTTTAATCTATTCCATTTTCAATATTGACTTGTATTCTTGAATCCCTAAAATTTGCACGTATAGGTTAATTTGCTGAAGGAAGAATTTGATTCTCAATTATGTGATATCTATGATCCATATGAGCCCGTGGTTGTGCCGCATTTTAAGTCAATATTGCAAAGTATATACTCATATTTCTTATTGAAGTTTTTCTTCATCGCGGTAGACTTGTGATTGGCCGTGTTTTATTTTGTATGAGATTTTGGAATTGGAGTTAGGAGCTATGCTTGCAGTTGAGCTATAAATTAGTTTATGACTGTAGGGCTTAATTTTTATGGATTTGGAACTTTGCCATTTATGTTGATATTAAGTTGAATGAGGCACATTATCTCACTGGCTATTCGATAGTCGGAAGCTGGTTCAATGCTCACACCTAAATGCAATAACTCATGCACATGAAGTGGGACATGAAAGTTCTTTACATTTTGCCGATAACAGTTGTAGACTTTAGGCATCTGTTTGCTGGTTAATATTCGTCTATGGTGATATCAGCGTGAATCTCACGCAATTAGTCTAACCATTTCGATCCTATAAATATATTCGCTATCTGTATCTAGTATACTAATATACACAAGCTTTTTCTTTCTCTTTTCCCATTGGCTACTCCTTTTTCTTCTTTCTCCATTCTCAATGCCGATTTCCCCTTTCTCCTTTTTTTTTGTTTCCATTTTCATTCTCGCTCCCTCACCCCCTCTTTCTGTCCTACCGTTCCTGTATTTCTCCCTCTAATATTGCGAGGCATCTGGGCTGATTCATTTTTCTTGAGGTAATTACTTTGCTTCCTTTTCTTTTTTGTCTGTTAATATCACTACTATAGACTTGTAAGTGATTGTTTTTGATACACATTAAACTGAAGTTATATGAGTAAAATTTAGTATTTTGTTTTTAATCTGAGTTTTACTCCCCCTTTAAATATTTTTTTAATTGTGAATCCATCTTATTTGTCTTTTCTGATTTGCATTATTCTGTGTCCTTTTATGATCCTTCTCAAATACATCTGCTGCTGTATTCTGATATTTTGAGATTACTAGATACGTACAAATTCAGAATATAGTAAACCCTGCAGGGATAATGCTAAAATAAGGGAATTTACATGACAATTTAAACGCATAGAAGGAATAGTTTGATTGAGTGTAGGATCGAACCAAAAATTGAATTAGCCGAACCAAATTAATCCAAAATCGACTAAATACCTAACTATTGGTAGACTCTAGGGTTAGTAGAAGGTTTTATTGATAGAAGGGGTGTGATTTTTCTGTTGAAGTGTTGTGTTATTGACAGAAGGTGTATCATTCCTGGAAGGGGGATATTTCAGGAAACAAGGAGGAAATCAACTGTAACTGCACATATGTTAATATGTGTATGAAAATGTTAATATGTTTATGAATTTTTGATGTATAATTATTTAGTTCATGTTTCCTAGTGATGAGAACACGAGCGAGTGAATGAAATTTCATTGATGGTTAGAATTAGAGTAAATTTTGTGTATCAATGTGATTGGTGGAGGCCATATCACGATTTTGTTGCTTGCACGATTAGCAAAGCTTGGACAGACGTGATCATTCGTCAGGTCTAGTCCAGTTGAAGAACGTTACTTTTCTCTCAGGTTCTACAAAGATGTTCTGTAGACAAAGCATTACTATTGAATTGAAGCAACTGATTAAGGAAAAAGAAAAGCCTTCATGATTTGCTATAGTGGTCCTGTAGACAAAGAATTAATTGAATTGAAGTAATTTATTTGGGAAAAAGAGAAGCCTTCATGATTTTCTCTAGCATTACTGAATTGAAGTTCACTTTTTAAATTTGAATCAACTCTAATATACGCATCTCTAAATCTACAAAAAAGAGATTATATAATTAGTCGACGTGCAACAGGAACAGCTGATAAGCGGCATACCACTTCGGCATCAACTAGATCTTATATGAAGTTTAGAGAGAAAATTTGGGGCACAGTTGCTATTTGGTTTAGCCCCACTGACAGCCGGCTGGGAAATATTATAAGGAGTACTTTGTAGTTTGTACAGTGCTGAAGATTTATTCAGTCAAATACAACAACTAATTTTACAATTACCTTTAATTCAATTCAAGCCCTTTAAGTAATCCTTATTCCTTTCATTTCCTAGCTTTTTGCAGCTTTATTTAGCATTTTCTTACCCAATGTTAGTCACTAATTAGATCTTCATTACTCTCAAAGCTTCTATCTGTGACGTTCACGTTTTGATACTTTCAAAAAGCCTAGGAACCTATTGTTGAGAAGTAGAGTTCCCTTTTCTACATTACATTAATGGTCTGATCGCAATTGAGAATTGTTCAGTGTCAGTTTGCGCTATCATTTGGTCCAATCTGTTACCATTGTACCTCCAAAAGTATGATGAACTTTGGGAACTTTATCAATTGGAGCTAGTTGAGAGAAAATTTCTTGTCAAAGTGGTGACAGGGTTAAGCGTATTAACCTATTGCCCTTCTCTTTTCCCTTCAAGTGTTGATAAAAATGCTTGTAATGTAGTGGGTTCAAACTTCAAAAGAATTGGATATTGTTTGTTATAAGGTTTTTGGTTAGTAGTATCCACGATCTCCTTGATATTTGTGCTTGATTATCCTTTTTAAGTGCCTATTTCAGTTGCCATAGTGGGTTTTAGTAATATAATTCGTCTTTAGTTTTGCATGCAGATATGACTTTGTCCTATCTGTAGTTCTGCCAGCAAATATCTGAATGGAGTGGCTAGTAATCATCGTTACAGTGGTAGTACTGTGGGTGGCTTCACTCTTTAAAATTCTCCATGAATCTCTCTCTGCCTCACAAGTTGCAGTTTTAAATGATGGTATGGGGTGATTTCTCTACGAATTGTCAATTCTCGTTTTTTTTTTTGTATTTACTGGCTGCCTCAATGTTGTTATGCACTTTTCTTTTAGAATCTAAATACAAGCACGGATACACCTTTCCCTGTAGTGTTTGTTCTACAGCTAATTGCTTCCCTTCTTGATATCTTTTTTCTTAGGTGGAGTTTTTTGCAAGAGAAATGTCTTGTTGGTTATTGCCCATCCTGATGATGAGTCTATGTAAGGTTGAACGTCTTAACTATGATATTGATATTTGTTCCTATCATAGATATTCTGTGCGATGCAAACTTTTGAATTGCTATAGAGGGAGTTGCAGACTAATATATTTGGAACTGTGTTAATTTTGACCAAGATTATGAGAGCCCCAATATATCACTAGTCTTACATTAATACGAAGTTGCTCACTTGAAAATTTTAATTAAGCTCATAGTTGAACACACATTCACAGAACAATAATTCCCTTGAATTCATATAGCCATCTTGAAACAAGGTGGACTAGAAATTTGGTGGGCTAAACTATAAGATTCAATTCTTACCCCCTTTCTTAAATAGGTTATTTAAGAACCGTAATATGATTTGTCTTTATACAAATTATGGTTTCAACATTTTGTTTTGTTTGTTTTGTTGAACAGTGGGTACGTTATACATATGGTACCTGAAAATACTGTTCCGTTCTTTTTTCTAAATTTCATCAAATTGCTTTAGGCTTGTTCTAAGAGAAGCATCCCTACCTGGACGACATCCTTTTTTACAAATTTTGTTAAAAAAGTAATCTATTGTTGTTAGTAACATGGATCACAACTCTCAGTGTCAGTTGATTGTTGTTGTGTCTCTAAATATAGATGTCGATTTTCACATATTATATAATGACCTTTAAATGTTTCGGGAATCTTGTCATTAAGTTAATCATACTGTATCTATTTGCTGTACAAACATTACTTTTGAGATGATATGACTTGTGATGCTTCCTTGTACTCTATACTGCAGGTTCTTTACTCCAACCATTAACTATTTGGCTTCGAGAGGATGTAATTTGCACATATTATGCATGTCAACAGGTAAGGCTTTTGGAATATTTCAATTTCTGTTGCACATGCTGAGTCAAAAAAATTTCTTTTATGTGTAAGTTTTGAGCGGCACATGTGTATTTTGGTTGATGTATGTATGTCTCAGGACACAAAAAGTGACACTTAAAATGAAAAGTTGATGCTTTTTTCCAGTTGAAATACTTTAGCAATTTATTTTTTTAAAGTATGATCCAATTCAAGCAGCACTGGTGAACCCGATGTTCATTTTCTGAATTTGAAATATTGCAGATTTTTCAACTTTAGAATGTTTAAATGATCTGACCAAAAATCTCTGCAACTGTTTTTAGCAAATCCAGTCTATTATTGATGCTAACTTTCAGTATTTTGTTTCTGCTTTGTTGCATTGTACTGAAATATAGGTAATGCAGATGGTATGGGCAATGTCAGAAAAGAAGAACTTTATTTAGCCTCAGTAATGCTTAAGGTGAAATTTTATCTGAATAGAAATCTGAGCTTGGCTTTAATGCATTGATTCTAGATCTTTGATCTTTTATGTTGTTTTCATGCAATCATTCCTGCATTCATCTATTTTGCGAATTACTATAAAGGAAGTATTTGGTAAAATGTTGGAGGAGCTAGTCAGATATCAGTCGTTGATCTTTCTGTTCTCTGTTTACTCATGCAGGTTCCACAAAAGCAAGTGAAAATCCTTGACCATCCAGATCTACAGGTATTTCTGATTGTATCAGAATAGTATCTCTGTATGTTCTTAATGTGTGAGCAGAGTTCTAATGTCTAGTTCTAACTAGGATGGTTTTGGCAAATCATGGAACTCAAAGTTATTGTCAAAGATTATCAAGGAGGAAATTGCCAATTGTGATATTGATTTGGTAAGTGATTTCAGTAATTGTCTTGTTTAACTAAGTTAGCCTTTTCGGGTGATCTTCAGTAGTTTGTGCTTCTTTGATGGTTATAAATTTAAGCTTCATCCCATTGACTATATTGTGCAAGTTGCTTTTCTCCTTCACTTGATTAAAATCTCGATCTATAGATATATCCTTCATTTATTTGTTCATTTTAGTTGAATACAAAGAATGTATTTAAGTATGGGAAATATGAATGCAAGACTCTTCTCTCCGTAATGCCTCAAGGGGGAGATAACAACAATAAAACTAGGAATTCTTTTTCCTGAGATAGATGGATTTGCCCAATGTGTAAGACGGTGGTGTTCTAGTAGCAAATTGTATTTTATATCTCATGTGGAAATGGAAAACACTGCTGAAAATCAAACCAAGCCATCTTTGTAACCATTCCGACTAATGAGGCATCTGGGAGAGTCGTAGTATATATTATTAAGAAGAATTTATAGCACTTCCTTATTAAACCAATCACAAAATACCATCAGAATAACTAAATGGTCACAATTATTAACAATCACAAAATACAAACACCAATAACTACTAAACAAGCCAGGCAGTCACCAAGACACACTTTACACCATTAGAATATCTAAAACAGTCACAAAAATAATCATTCACCAAGAACAAGTGCTTAACCAAGCAGCAGACCATCGGACAAAATAATAGCATGGTCATCCATATCCAAAGTACATCCAAAAGCACTAATTGCTAAACCAGTGGTAGTCACCAAAGCCACAAAATATATAGAAAAATAGTCACCAAAATAACACAAGCCCAGTCACCAAAAAATAACACAAGCCCGTTAGAATATCTAAAACAGTCACAAAAATAATCATTCACCAAGAACAAGTGCTTAACCAAGCAGCAGACCGTCGGACAAAATAATAGCATCATCATCCATATCCAAAGTACATCCAAAAGCGCTAATTGCTAAACCAGTGGTAGTCACCAAAGCCACAAAATATGTAGAAAAATAGTCGCCAAAATAACACAAGCCCAGTCACCAAAATAACACAAGCCCATATAAGAAGTTTAACCATGTCTAAGACTCCAAGTAGATCATTAAGACCATAACAATGACTTATTATGAAGATGGTTAACTGGATGAACATGTACATCTCTTTATATGAATCCTGAAAGTGGAAGTGCCACACATATTTTTTAATAATAGAGAAATCCCTGAAGGTTGGTGACGCACGGTTTGAAACTTAGTGGATAATGGTCCTGCCTCACTTCACTACCCTTCTCCACTTAAATGCCAAACTTCAGCCTGTAGCAGGGTTTGAACCCGTGAAGTGCGCACTGTTACCAGTTACCACTAGACCAAAGCCCCGGGAACGGAAGTCCTACACATCTTCACACAAAAATTATAACCCATCCACAATGAATGCATCTTGCTTTCACACTTCTTCATTTCAACCTTTTCAAAATGAACCCAAGCATATGATGGAGCTTTACGACCATATAACCGCATGATTAAACCTAATTAACATAATATGATAATTCTATATGGTAAATACAATTCTTTGGATAACATAAGTTTAAGTCATATCATAAAAGAATAGAAGTTTTGGACTTATTGTTTGTAACTTGCAACTAGTTATTAATAATGCAAAAATCTCTTCACTATTGGTCATATCTAAAAATAATTTAATAAAATATGTCATACAACATATATAAGTTAATTATTTTACACTAAGACACACAAAATACGAAGCCATACCAAGTTCAAGTTGCTCTAGATAATCCAAATCTTCAACATTAACAACTAGAGACTCACTCTGATATCAATCTTGAATACAAACAAAAGTTTGCACCAATTTAGAAATCAATGAGCTCCTAAATGAATCAAGAATACAACCAATATTAAATGCACATTTTTGGCCGCTAGTAACTGGAATTGCCAACACATCACAAGTCGTGTCAATAAAACAGAAATTCTAGGAGCATTAACTCTCCACCAACCCAAGGATCAAAATTCTCAATAACAGACTCTTGTCCTTCATTAAGACACTTATCCAACTTTAGTTTAGCACCTACACTTATATTTTTTTTGTCTTTGCAATTGAAATTGAAGTAGAAGAAGATGATGTAGTTTGAGGTCTTCTTGAGTATTTTTGTAGATACTCTCCAAATAAAGAACTCATGTAACTCTTCACTTCATCTTTTATCTTCTCTCTCCAAACATCTCCTTTATTGCATAGTCAACATACTCAAGCTTGTTTCGAGGATCCAATGAGGCAATAGAAATTATCTTGTTCTTTTTTGTAGGGTCACCCAATACTTTCAAACTTTTCTTTCATTCGCTTTGCCGGTGAACACAAATTAGCATTGTTACTTGCTATACACTTTTTCAAATGACAAACAAGCTTACATATTTCCTCAAAATGAACGATAGAAAAAACATAAAGTGAACTTGAATCTTTCAAGGTGAGCTCCTGAAACCTTTCAAGAAACTTTACCATGTTCCTCACATTTACCAAATTATCATTTTGGAGTGCATCTGCAATGCATCCATCTTCACAAACATGAGTGCGAAGATAAGTGGACAATATACTATCAATAAGATTCAAAGGGTCTCAAATTGTTGTGCCATATCCAACATCAAGTAGGTTGAATTCCACCTAGTAGGAACATCTAAACTTAATGATCTCTTTTCTTTTATCCTTTGGACTTCACAATACTCCTTAAACTTTTTAATTCTTGTAGGAGATTGTCAAATATACCTCATCATTTACTTAATACATTTGATACTTCTTTCAAACTAACTTGCACAATAATAATTGGGAATTAACATGATGTGTGGTAAGCATCTTCATGTGAGATGTATGGCTCACATATTTAATCGTATTGTGCAAGTTGGTTTGAAAGAAGTTGGTGTTTCTTTCAAACATGCTAGGCAAATGATAAGGTATATACACAATCTCTTACAAAGGTTAGAAAGTGTATGGAGTGTTTTGGGTCCAAAAGATAGAATGAAAGAGATCATTAGTTTTGGATGTTCCCATTAGGTCGAATTCCACTTACTTGATGTTGGATATGACACAACATTTTCAGATGGCCTTTGGTAGTTATGATCTTATTGATAGTGGGTTGTCGATTTATCTTCTTACTTGTGTATCTGAAGATGGAAGTATTGCAAATGCACTTCAAAATGATGATTTAGATGTGAGGAACATAGTAAAGTTTCTTGAAAGGTTTTATGAGCTTATCTTGAAGGTTTTATGTCTTTTCTAATGCTCAGTTTGAGGAAATATGTGAGTCTGCTTGTCATTTCAAAGAGTGTATAGCGCTAATGATACGAACTTGTGTTTAATGGCAAAGCATGTGAAAGAAATGTGTTAAAGTGATCCTGAAAAAATGAATAAGATGATTTTTATTGCATCTGTGTCGGATCTAGATAGCAAGTTTGACTATGTTGGGTTTGCACCCGAGGAGATACTTGGGAAAGAAAATAAAGGTGAAGAGTTAGTTCTTTATTTGGAGAGTTTATATAGAAATACTCTAGACGATCTCAGCTTGCAGTTCTTCCTCTATGTCATGTCTTTGTCTGATTTTACTTACATGAAAACATGATCATTGAGAATCAAACTTCAATTGAAGAGACAGAAAGAAGAGAGTGGAAGTGTGGGTGCTAAATCAAAGTTGGATTAGTATCTTGATGAAGAATAAGAGCCCGTTAGTGAGAATTTCGATGTCTTAGGTTGGTAGAGAATTAATGCTTCTAGATTTTCAATTCTGATTTCTAGTGTGGTATCAGAATGTGCATTTTGTATTGGAGATCGTAATCTTTGATTCATTTAGAACTTCGTCGACTCCTAATTGGTGCAAACTCTTGTTTGTCTTCGAGATTGGCTTCAGAGTGAGTCTTCCTATTAATATTAAGGAAGATTTGGATTATCTTGATCAAAATTGAACTTGTCAAGCTTTTGTGTTTTGCGCGCATCTTAATGCTAAATAATTTGGTTGTTTGTGTTGTGGGACATTTTAGTAAATTATCTTTGGATATGGCCAATAGTGGAAGCGATTCTTGCATTATTGATATCTAGTTGCAACATGTGATAAGTCTAAAACTTTTACTTATTTGATGATATTGCTTAAATTTATGTAATCAAAAAATTGTGTTTAACATATCGTTTTATCTTTTAGGTTTAATAGAGCCTCGGTTGCACGGTCCTAAAGCTCGATGCAACATCTTGAAAGGTTGAAGAAGTGTGCAAAGATGTGTGGCACTTCCACTTTAATGTTTCATCTAAAGAGATATTTTGGTCTTAATCCGATTAACCAACTTTGTATTTAAGTTATCAGGATGATTTTAATTATCTGCTTGGAGTCTTAGACATGGTTTTAATCTTTTGATATGTTTTTTCTATTATTTTGGTGACTTTTTTTTAGACGTATTATGGCTTTGGTGATCAGAGGGAAATCTTACTTTTGTTATGCAATCACCTTTTCATCTCATGGACACTTTGTTTTCCAGGTCGTAACTTTCGATAATTATGGAGTTTCAGGTCACTGTAACCATTGCGATATTCATCAAGGTGTACGGTAAGTTATTCACCATATTGTGGTAGCCATTGGTAGTACTTTTGCAAATGAAAGTATTCACCATATTATGGTATTACTTGGAAATGCTCTTGCAAATGTTACAAAGAGTTATTTCGTATTCTCAGTGATATATGATACTATACTAGTGAAACTTCATAATGATCCCATTTCTATCTTTCTTGTTTAATAATATCTCTTATACTAAATTAGGTTTTTTGAAGAGGCATCGTTTTGAGGGAATTTCCTTACTTTTCTTTTCTTGAATCTATAATTGATTGACATGCCAATAACATGTTGTGTATTTTGTATGACAAGGGAAACATTGATGATTCGGACTCTATTCTGTAGATGTAGGACTTCAAAATAAATCTTCTTCAAGGCTTAGCAAATTAACTTGTTCCTAATTCTCCCATTAGTCTTCCAGAAAATTTGTGATAAATTATCAAAGGCTTAATATTAGTAGCTTTATTTAAAAAAAAAAAAAATTATATTTCCTTGCAATATCTACTTTGTCAAACCCATAGGTACTTACATATTCAGTAGCACGTCCTAATAAAATGGTTTTCTTAAAATGCAGAAAACTTTTGCAAGATGCTTCACATAGAGAAGTAGAGGCCTGGGAGCTTGTGAGTTCTTCCCTTGTCTCTTTACCTTTGGTACTACCTGTTGTTTGATGTTAGTTTCTTGGGATATCATAGCTTAAAGAATTCAGATGAATTTGGTTTTGAATTTCCATGACTATGGTTGGCATCCCGCCAATCACAATTCTGTGGTTTAGGTTTTTGACTGGAGTGTGGTGTTATGATTCATCATTTTCAGGTCAGCACTACCATATTGCGCAAGTATAGTGGACCAGTTGACATATGGTTGTCTATCCTATCTGCCAAGTTTCATTTAAGGGGAGTGGTGCATTGCTTGCTAAATGAACATCCTCGAAGGAGCTTAGCTGCAATGGCTCAGCACAAGAGTCAATGGGTTTGGTATGTACTACCTTTGCTATTTTCTTGCTTAAGATGGTATATAAGTAAGAAATAAAGGGTTTTTATTCTCGGTCCCTCTTTCCAGACATTCATTTCCTTGTCTTTGGGAGTAGTGGTTGATTCCATTATCGGAGGGTGAAGACATCAGATATAAAACAAATGATCAATACGATGCACATTTGACGTACTCTGAACGAAGTTAATCCTTTTGCGGTAGAAAAGTAGTAGCAGTTATCACTCATGGGCCAGTGTATTGGTGTTTAACCAGATAACTAAAAGGAGTCTTCCCACATGTCGCGTAACAAAACATTTTCTAGACAGAAAACAAAGTGAAATAAAAAAATAAAAGACAACAAGATCCTCCATGTCATTCATGCAATATTCTGAATGTCTTCCTATGAAGAGCTTTTCTATACGACCATGGTGGCCCACTTGTAGATTTCATTCCACATACTCTATGTTGTAACTAATCTTTTGGTTTATCTTTTCAGGTTCCGAAAGCTATTTGTCTGTTTCTCGAGTTACACATATGTTAACTGCCTTAAGAAGATCAACTAGAGATATGTCAGATTATTGGTTCAAGAAGACACTTGAAAGGAAGATCAACTAGATATTGGTTCAAGAACACTAATGTGAACGATAAGTAAAACCGCTCAGCGGATCATCTGAGCTGAAATCCGACATCTCTCCTGTGAGCTTTTCAACTTCTGATATATTAAGAAGTACAGGCAGTGTTAGAATTATTAGTGGTTGCAAAATAGCTGGTTTTGCTTTCTACTTTTGTCGAATAAATGCTTTTCACACTTTTTTATTTCTATTTTATTTTGGTGAGTGCTAAATGCTTGGTGCTTTGGCTTTGGTGAATGATCTGGTTTTGATGATACGAGGGAACTTAATTAAAGGCTTATTTTCTTTTTTCCTCTTGTTGTGCTCTATATATATATATTTTGCTTCCCTACTACACTGATGCCGCACTTTTGGTGAGGAAGCGAAGTTGCCTTCTGGAGTGGTTTATTTACCATTGGCAAGAGTGAAACATGATTTCTTATTTCTATTAGAAAATGTACATCATAGGGAGAGGATAGCAAGTTGAGAAAGAATGAAATTAATAACTGAACTGTTTTAAATTTCTTATAATAAGCCTATCAGCGACCTGTACTTTGCCTTGAAACAATTAGTCCTTTTTCAAGGAATCAATTTCCTTTTGAAATGTTGGATTTGCACCCATGGTTCTTCAAGTAAAAGTTCTATTACTATTGGCCACATAATCAGGCTACTCGAACAGACCAGAGTCTAAACCATAGAACAGCAACCAACTGATTGATATTGACATTTACTAAAAACAAGAAAGAAGAACTGAGCTTCTGCAGCCATTCCCTTCTTAATCCCGGGGCAGTTGGCCAATCGAAGTCTTTGTAACTTGATTTGGCCGAAAGATCTTCAAGTTTTAATTAGTGGCCAGCGACCTTCTTTATTAGTTAGTGTTAATTTATAATTGGGGTTAATGACAAGATAAAGTGAGAAGTTCTGACCCTAGACCCAAAGTTTCATTTATTACGCATTAGTTACTATATATATATATATATAGATAAAATTATTTCCAAAATATAAAAAAAATTTCCCCCAGATCCAATTCCCGCTATTCCCGCGGATGAAAGGTCTCAGTAAACATCACATATAGAGCTGCAGCAACACTACCATCACCATCGATGATCGCTTAAGTGGATTTAGTTATGGGTTGGATGATATTGGAGAAAATAAAATGAGAATTCGTATGGTCCAGAAAATGCTAATGCCGAATCTTGTCAACGGTACTGGACAATCAGAAAAGAAGATTTAATACTCGAAGAGAAATATTAAAATATTGAAAAGGAAATAGATATCTTGAAGGAGAAACTCAGAGAATCTGAAGAAGAGAACAACCAATTACAGGAGAAATTCAACTGGTTGAAAGTTGAAACAAAGAATAAAAGGTGAAAGAGACTGAAGGACCAAAGGACTGTCAAAGAAAAAATTCATGAGATTGACGTTTGTTCTATTGTTGGCCTTTGTTATTTGGAAAATAATGTAGCGGTTTAGTTCAAGATGTTTTTGCGTGTTGAAAATTCTATTTTAACCAAAATGTAGTGTGTTTAATCGCTTTTTGTGTATTTAATTCTACTTGTGTAGGCAATCTTATGTATTTAATCCATTGTTGATTATAACCCTTATATATTATGGATTACCAATTACTGGTCTTACATTCAAATGTTGGGCCTTGTGGCGAAGTTTAAGCGAGATGGCTCCTAGGATGTCAGGTTGCTTATTGCACTTGGTCGTATTAATATGGTGCTATCCATTCCTTCATGATTATGGTCATGTGCGTGCTTGCTGTTGATATACACGTGTTTGGTGGGTATGGGAATTTTGGCTATGGGTATTCCCTGTGGACCGGTATACTTGGATCGGGTTACGCACCTCAGCAAAGTTATGTTGGAATTAGGTCTGCTTATCGAGCGGATTAGGCGGATATTTACGCTTAACGATACGACTTATCGGTTATGGGCTTGCAAAAATATACTAATCCGCTAGCCACATGATAAGATATCGGGCGAATTGATATCAGATTAGCAATTAGCGAGCGGTTTATCGGCTATATCAATAGACAATAAAAATTACATAAATAAGAAAGACAGTAAATAATAGATAGACAATCTAATCACAAGCACACTCCAGTATGCTAATGAAGCTCTCATTGTTAATGGTAGTTTCTTTTTCTTTAATTCTTTTGCAATAAGCAACCTAAATACAAATTGTCGATCGTTAACCAGTAATAAAAATTCTGTTACCATAAATTCTGCATATAGTTTTGCTTCAATTACCAAGTTAAATAATTTATTTGAGCAAAAAGGTATCAAGAACTATCTAGATCTACCTAGTCCTACTCCAAAAACAAGTTATGATGACTTTAAAGCGCAAGCTGCTAAGAAGTTGCTTCATAATGGGTAAAAATATAAATATAATAATTCTTAATGGGTTAATGATTTATTGAAAAATAATTAATCCGCCCTCGAACGAATAAATCATTAATTATAAAATTTTAATCTGTTCACCAACCGCTAATCCAATAACCCGATACAATAAGCCACTAAGCCACTTTTACGGTTCGGTTAACGGTTACGTTTGGCTTTGAACAACCCTAGTTAGAATATGATCCTTTGTTCTTATTTCATTTGTTTTGCTTCTCCTCTATAGGATGAGTTCATAGCATTGTACTTTGTGGTTGCATCTGTTGAGCTTGCGAGATGGTGCTCTCATTTGGTCCTCCTTCCATCATATTGATTACATTCGAGTTGTTTCTTATTTGGTGCACGAATGGCATCGTATGTGGCACTAGGGGAATTTGGTGTGACCTGTCAGCCAAACCTCTTGTACTGGGTGAGATAAGGCTATTGGACCTGGGAGTAGTGCAATCGGATTTGGATAAGGTATGCTTGGAGAGGAATGTCATTTTGTCAGTTTAGAATTTGGCGATAGTTTTTGTCAGGTGAGAGAGCTCCACGACTTGTTGATTTGATGAGTGGTTATGACTTTCTACGTATGTTTTTTTATCTTTGGCAGTGTACGGAGGTTTGTAACAATATTTTATTTGATATGAGGTATGTTACTGATATCAGGTTAAGCAATGAGCAGGTATTGTGGTCGGAAGATCTTATATTGGTACATGAGTTATGTAGTATATTGTGTGATTATATCTTAGAATATGATTATGGCTTGATGCAACTTGTTTAGACTTATACAGTGTATAAATGCGAGAATCGTGTCTTATAATGAATTTCGGAATTGAAGATTTGGTTCTAAATTTATGGACTAAGGTTGAAGAAAGAATCTTAAGTTACGTTGTGTTGATGGGCTTATATGGATTGAGGTGACGTAAGATCACCCATGAGTATGTGTGTGGTGAGTTTATATAGTGATTTGATGATTTTGGAATAACTCTTGGTACGTTCGATATGTTTAAGTGGGGAAGAATGTAACGGCCCGACCGATCGTATTGTTTGGTATTTCGTTCGGTGGTTTGAGGTCTTTAGTAGCTTCATATTATGTATTATGAATTGCTTGCATGGTTGGTTTTGATTTTTGGGAAGCTTGGGGTTGATTAATAGAGTGATTCCTAATTAGAAAGCTTAAGTTGGAAGTGGTGACCAAGTTTGACGTTATTTATTTGATCTTGGATCAGAGTTTTGATAGTTCTGTTAGGTTCCAGATGGTGATTTTGGACTAGGGCGTATGTCTGTATTCGTATTTGGAGGTTCCTAGGATGATTTGGTTCTATTTGGCGAAAGTGAGAAATTTAAAGGTTAAGAAGGTTCATAGGTGTGACCGAGAGTTGACTTTGGTATTATCGAGTTTGGATTGTTGTTTTGGAAATTGGAATAGGTTTGTTATATCATTTGGAACTGGTGTGCAAAATCTGAGGTCATTCCGAGTTGGTTAGACGTGGTGCAACATGAGTTTTGAAAATTGGAAGTTTGATTAGTTCATTAAGCTTGAATTGAGGTACGATTTGTAGTTTTGATGTTGTTTTGCATGATTTGAGGCCTCGAGTAGGTCCGTGTTATATTTTGGGATTTGTTGGTACGATTGGATGGGATCCCCTGGGCCTCGGGTGTGTCTCGGGGTGGTTTTTGAATATTTTGACCTTGTTTCGCATTTCTATTCTAGTGTCTTCGCACCTTCGGGGTTAGTTTTGTAGGCGCGTTTCCGCAGATGTGGATAGTGGGTCGCAGGTGTGAGATTTTGGGTTGGGAAAAAATTCGCAGATGCGAACCTTATGGCACATCTGCGAGATTGCAGAACGCCGACTCTAGTAAGGAAGCGGGAAGGCAAGCTGAAGGGGTGTTGCACAAAAGCGAGATTTCCTCGCACCTGCGATACCACAGAAGCGGAAGAAGGTCTATAGGTGCGAGAGGTTGGGGTTTAAGTGATAATCCCAGAAGCAAGGTTTTTGTCGCAGAAACAGCAGTTTTGATTGCAAATGCGAAAGTGGTGGACGGTGTATTAAGTTTGAGGGTTTTGTTCATTTTAGCATATTTTGAGATTAGGAGCTCGGATTTTGGGCAATTTTGTTGAAGCGATTATCACTAACTGGATTGGGGTAAGTATTCTTGACTCGGACTTGATTATTATTCATGATTCTACCCTTGATTTTGGCATTTGATGGGCGAATCTAAGAGGAAATTGGGGGTTTTGCAAACCTTTTCTAAAATAAGAAATGAAACTTGTATATTTGGACTCGTATCAAATGGGTATTCGGAATTTGTGAGTTTTGTCAAGTTTCGGTATGCGAGCATGAGTTGACTTTTTGGTTGACTTTGAGTATGTGATTAAAGATTTGACCTTTATCGTTTGGGTTTGATTCTATGGTACAATTTGATGTTATTGAGATTTCTTTTGGCTAGATTCGAGCCGTTCATAAGTCTATTCGTGCGCGAAGGCATTTTTAGAGTATTAATTTGGATTATTTGAGGTAAGTATCTTGCCTAATCTTGTTGAGGAAATAACCCCTTAGGATATGACTTCGTTTTTCTAATTGAAATATGTTAGAAGCAATGTATATGCGAGGTGATGAGCGCTTATGCGAGTGCTATGCATGATTCATAACCAAAGTAGTCTTTAGGTTGTACTATGCCTTGATTTGGATACTGTGCTTCTTTCTATCATGCCTTATATGTTTGTATCACTACGTGAACTCCGTGAATCATGGTAGAGATCATGAGTAGGTGTTGATTTCCTGTCGAGCATGATATTTGTTTTTGTTTGGCGTATTCGCCTGATGTGAGATGTATTTGTACACTTGCACATTCATACACCTTAGCATGCTATCTTATTCAGTCTATGAGTATGTAGTTTGATATCCATTATTCGTATACATGTATTC